TATTATTATTGTTATTATCTATTATTATTATTATTATTGTTATTATTATTATTATTATTATTATTATTATTATTATTATTATTATTATTATTATTATTATTATTATTATTATTTGTTATTATTATTATTATTACTGCTACTATTGTTGTTATTATAATCAAAATAATAATAATTTTATTATTAGTAGTAGTACTATTGTCATTGTGCAGTGTTAGTGATCATTATTATCATTTTTATATTACTGTCGTATTTAGGTTTATCATTTGATGATGGAATAATGAATAGGTGTGAAGACTGTATAACTGCTCGCAGTAATATGACACAGTATTCTTCATGAGTAGTGCTGTATGTTAACTTATGACTGTGTACGGTAAAATGAGATTCACAACATTATTCACTAAATTTTCAATATTAATCTATCTTATGCTACAATATCATCATATCATGCTAAAATATAATTCATTTTCTTCTGTTTTAGTGAACGAAATGAAGCTTAATGGCGGCGATTTGAAAGTGAAATGGAATCATCATGGCCATAAATACAAATTTATTCTTACACAGCAAGAATTAGCTCAAGATGATGCCTTTGAGGTGAGTCCATTTTGTTAATTTGAATTTAGAATTGTCCGGTAAAGTTAATATGAATATGAAATCATTGTTTGAAAGAATAAAATAATTTATTTCTCTCACTTAATTTCAGTAATTATTCTTTTTTAATTCAGTTTTCTCCTTTTTTTTTGAATTAAAAGCATTTAAGTTTAATTTACTTTATTTGATTTATTTCATTATAGATTTTATTGCGAAAAATTTGTCGAAAACTACCAGATTTTAATGATGTATTAGCAAGTTATGATAAAAATGGTAGTGAGGTAATTTCATCATTCCTTCCTTGTTTCTTTTTCATTTTCAATCAATGTCAATTCTGATATGTATTTAATTAATTTTGTACGATTATTTAAATCTAAATTTAACGAATTTTGAATACACTGCAAATATTACCCATCAATATTAGCCAACATTTCTCATTTTATTACTTTTTTGTATCCGGATAAAGTTTTCATGAAAATTTGTGAAATTATTCAAAATTTGAAGAATATTGTGGCAACAGATAATGAATTTCGTCAACTTATACTTCTTAGCAAAGGACATCTAAAAATGTATACAATACGACGATGTTTGTATCCACATCCATTTCAATCACATTCCATTCCACTTGTATGTTTATTTATCATTCATTCAATTAATTTATCAAAAAATATTTGTCTAATTAATTAGTGTAAATGCAATATAAGTATGTTATTTGTGCATCACATTGCCAGTTTTAAATAAAATAACTGCATAAACTAATCAATTTTGTAATTTGATTTGATATTTTTATTTAAAGTTTAATTTTGCAACAATTTAAAAAACAATAAAATACAATATATAACTCTGAAAATAAAATTGTTAATTATTTGTTTATAGGACATTGCTCGATTAAAACGATTACCTTCACGATCGAATAGTTGCTTACAAGGACCGCCACCATCGTATCGGGAAAGTCAGAAAGATGCAATGCTGCAAATTCATAATCCTTACCATACATTACCTTATTGGGGATTTACGCCATTTTCCCATGTATGTAATTTTTTTTCGTTATAATTGGAATAAATTGAATTTACGCAAAAAAAGAGCTTTTTTTTTCCCAAACATTTGGAAGTTTTTTTTTTTTACATTTTTTCTGGTAAAGTATCCATCTAATAGTACGTCAAAATACCATTTCTTATTTTGGATAATTATTAATAACACATTAAAAGATTATTGGAATAATTTTATCATTAAAATGAAAAAAGATGCTAAGAAATTTCGATTAAATAAAATAAAATTAAAATTAGAAGAAAAAAACTGAAATAATTTTATGGTTCGAACATAATAACGTCCTTAATGACTGAAAAGACTAATAATAGTTTTTAAAAAATTACATTATATTTTTTTTATGATAATAGATTACTCACATATATAATAATTATCGCAGTTAAAAAAGGAAAATGATTTTCCAAAAATTTATTTCTATTACCATTAATTGCTACAAATGATTTTTCTGCACAGGTAAACAAATATTCGTCAGTAATTACTTTAAAAGATAATTTTGTTATTAGAAAAAAAAACGATGTCAGAAAAATTCAATTAAATGTGATGAAATTAAGGATTAAAAAAAAGACGTAGAAAATTAATAATTGTTTAAAAATTTTTACACTAATTATGAATAATAATTTACATAAATACTCATTGTGGTTAAAGAAAACATAACTTTTCAGAAATGTATATGAAATGTTATTTTACTATCAAATATGAATTTATTGTATTCTTGGGATGTTGTTTACTATAAAGCATTATTTGCTGTCATCTGTTATGTGTTGTTTACTATAAAACAGTTTATTTAGTGTATTCATAAGATTCATATTTGTATTAAAAAATTATTATATTGTAAATGAAATTTTAATGAAAATGCGATTTTAAATTTAATGTAATAAAATTTCAATCTATAAATTTAAAATTTAATGTAAATTTACATTAAAGAAATTTACATTTTTATTCAGTATGATTTGAAAAAGAAATGAGAAATTTATGCAAAGTGTTTGTTTATTATAAAAAAATTCTTTGTTATATTCATATAATATTACCTATTATGAAAAGAAAGAAAAAAGTAGGAAAATCAAATTTCATAGATGTTATCATTTCAGGTACCATCATCCAGTGTTGGTTATGCTTGTACTCATTATGATACTGTTATTAGTAGTGGTGCTGGTAATGGACGTTATGGACAATCATTAATTTATGGTTATCCACCTCATTCATCCATGATGCAAACCTTTTTATGTTCATCATTTCCATTTAGTGAACATCATCGAAGTTGGATTTGTGGACCAAAATGTTTAACATTAAGTTTAGGTGGTAAAAATTATCGTCAAAAGTACACCTCGTGGTGGAATACGATTTTTTAATTATTCTTTTTTAAAAATTACTTTTACTCTTTATTTTTAATATCCATATATTTTAAAAAAGATTTATAATGAGGGAAGGTAATATAATAGGGAATTTAATATGACAAATTATCAGTTCTTTTCCTTTTTATCTCCTTTTTTTAATGATTGGAAAAATTTTTCACTTAGTTTGCGGTTTTAAAAAAAGAAAAGATGCTGATAGTTTTTTCTTGTCCTTCTTTTAATTTATTGATCTGATTCATTTAACATTTTGCTTCTCTTTTTTTTTTTTGTAATTTCCAAGATGTTTAAAATAAAACTGAAAATTTCAAATTAAACAAATATGTAGATATTTGGCATACTGTATAGTGTGGGATTGTCTGTAGAATTGCTTGCTTATTCACATGCATACTTTTGTTTAACAAAAATTTTAAATTATTATTTAGATATGGAATAAAAGCTTTCGAAGAATTTTTCTCTTCTTTTTTCTCATACTAACAATATACTCAATCATCCAGTCTTACTACCAGTGGTTACTGATATGACAGTATAGTTTGCTCGATTATTATACGAACAAAAAAAGTACGGTATTTCATTAGAAAAGTATGGTTGGATGTAGTAACATTTCAAAATTACTGGAAAAGAAAAAAAAAGAGACAAAGATGATAATGATTGTTTGCTACCAATAACCAAAATGGCATTGCTTGCGACCGTATCACAGGTTTATCGTATCCAAAAATACAATTTCCTATAAAAAGCTACAGTGATTAAATGACAACAACCGTTAAAAAATAGTAAAAAAACGATCACAATGAATTTCCACAACATTTAAAAAATTATCACCTAAATTTTAATATCTGTCAGTCATTTTCGAATAGTTTAATTCCCTCATTTTACGCATAATTTTTAAACTTTCAACTGTCACTTCATTGCTATAAATCATTAATTTAGTTTAATATCAATTTATTCATTATTTTAACTTTCATGTGTGAAATTGTATAATTTCTTTTTATCCATAAAGATTCACACATATGCAAACCGTATATTGTCACAAATGCTTTTATAATTTCCATTATGATAATTTTATTCAAAAGCAACAATCATTCTGTTCTTTAATGAATGTATCATTTGTTTTGCATCATTTTGAAGTATTTTCATATTAAAAGTTTAAATTGCAATTTCAGTATCCTGAAATAATCGTTTGCTTTATCAAAAATGAAAGTGCATGAAAAAAAAATATTAATTATGAAGAATTTACATATCATTTAGCTTATAATCATAACTATTTTTAGCCCTTTTAAACCAATTCATCATTAATAATGACGAATGAAATAAGAATGAATTAAACAATTATGAACAAAAAGTTATAATTATTTGCTATACCTAAAACAATTGAATTTACTTAATAACTATTTCAATGCAAATTAATCAAATGTATTAATCGAAAAGTTTATTTATTTCAATATCACTTATATAAGTGGGTGAGGGTAAGAGATGACTTTCTGTAAATGAAATGAATTAATTAATGGTATTTAAGTTTCCTTTTATGGTTGGGTTATGATTTGAGAACAAGGAAAAACGCCTTTTTTTGGTCGAATAATTTAAATTATTTCAAAAAATTTTTTTTAGCAACAACTGTGGTAATGTTTAAAGAAAAATTAATGTTAGGAATGATTAATTCATTCAAAATTTTTCTTACTATCTTCGTTTTTTTAAACCAATCTAAATTTTAAGGATGAAATATTGTTGTTGCTTCCCATATCATTTAGCAAAATTTTTTCCTTCCCAATCTTTTGAAACAAAAATTAATTGCTGTTAAAGCACTGAAATACATTCTATACTGTTGCATTTAACTTATTGTTAATTATGTTTGTAAAGTTTTTAATTAGCATTGCAAAAATTAGCTTGTTGCTAATTAAATTTGCGGAATTGTCGTAATTAAACTTCAAAAATTTGTTCAAAATGCAAGCATTTTTTTTTGCAAGTATTCCATTTACATGCTTTTTCAAATTGCATTTTCTGACAAAAAAAAAAAACGATTTAAAAAATATTGTGCTATTTTAAGAAAGCACAAGAAATGTATTTAAAATGATTTGATAACTTCATTTTGCATTTCTTGATGAAATTATTTATAATTTTATTATTGAAAGCTGAAAAAAAACATTGGATCATTCTTTAATATGAACAATCACAATAATCATATCAGAACTTAAGTTTAATAATATTTATTTCGCATAAATTAATTACAAAATATGTTACCTTTTTCTTTTTTGGTAATTTAAAGAATGCAATGTATTGCTTTAAATTAATGCTAATACGAATAATATATTCATAACAAAATCACAAATTACCTTGACAATTATAACAAAGATTTCTAAGTATACTAAAGTGATTTTTTTTAAGAGCCGGGAAAAATAATTATTCGATAACTTTGAAATAGTAATCAAATTTAAGAGAAATGGGGAGATGGCATATCTGTTAAAAGTACATTGAAAGATTTAGGGTGAAGAACCGAGAAAAATAATTATCAGATAATTTTGAGATAATAATTAAAATAAGGGAACGATATGATGAGGAATAACAAGGATTGGATTGTTAAAAAAGTTTGGAAAAGAAAAACGATGAAATGTCGTCAGCTTATAGTTGTTCCAGTATATTTCCTTTGTTTTATATAGTAAAACATTTACAGTGTAGTGTAGAAATACAACTGAAGAAGAAAAACACTACATCGTATAAACGATAAAACAATAGGGATTTGGCAAAAAAAGTTGTCATTCATTTTAATAATCTGAAATTATATTGGTATAGATTTTTTGAATAATATTGAATTGAAAATTTTCAATAGCCATTGATTTGCAAATTCTGGTATTTAATTACTGACTTAAATAATGTTTAAATATTCTTGAATAATTGAGTTAATAGTATCAAATTTTGCAATTTTAATGCTTGCTTATTTAATAATAAAATGCATAAGATACTTGGAATTTGTCGCCAACTCATTTTTTTCTTTTTTATCCCGCGACATTATTTATTTCAGTACTTAACAGAAGTTAAATAAACCATTATAAATCTTAAATGTAGAGCAATATCTGCTAAAAACTATTACAGTATACTTGTGATAACAGTATCATTGTTCATTAGCTTCCTAATGAAATTTGATACTTATTAGCTTACTAATTAATGTCCAACTCAACATCAAAGTTTGAAAGAACGAAGTTGGTATGTAATACAAAACCTGAAGACTTGATATGTTATTATATGGTAAATGCCATGTGTAATGAATGAGTAAAGGAAACGGAAAAAAAAAATTTCTAACAGAATAGAAGGAATACAGGTTTATGTCATTTATATCTACCGTGATACTGTGGAATATTTGCCACCGTAAAACCATATATACTTGATATTCTATAATTGTTACAGTAAACTATACCTAGTTAATCTGTAGAATATTTTTTACTGTCAGTTATATTTATTTAATTCTATAGAATGTTTGTCAAGCGTGGATTATTTGGCATTTTATACTCCATTAAGGTGTTGCAAAATGTTAGCTACTGTAAGTTAAACGCATAAATATATTTCTGTAGAATATTTTCTACAGTAGGTAATAAGATTGTATTTTATGAAAATTATATCTGCAACTAATAACTGAAAGAAAGGTTTATATTAAACTTACATGTCAATTTCTCAAAAAAAAATTTAAATTATAGACAATAAAGTAATATTAATCCTATTTAAAAGTCCACTAACATTTCACATTGTACCGTAATATTAATAATACCTAAAAGTCCATCTAAATAATATATTTAATACTTCATTTTGTGACATGAAATGTTAAACTGTTAACGCTAAGATGGCGGGAAATGTTTAGTATACAAACAGATTCACAGATACTTAGCAATACAATATTTATTAATTTAAGTAATTATAAATTTGCTCTCAAAAAAAATGGGCATAAATTGTCGAAATGATTGTTGGTATGAAAAGCAGATATCATGACAACTGAATAAAAAATTAGAGAATAATTAAGCAATTTTGCTTAAAAGTAACAAAATTAATTTGCTTGCTTTCAGCCAATAATTTTATAAATTTTTTTTTGCATTGAAAATGAAGCAATTTTTAATTTTAAGTATTTTTCATCCGAATTTTGGTGCAAAAAACAAGCAAAAATCTATATCCTACTAGCTTGAAATATTAATATAATAAATTTTAGTTCTGTAAAATTTTCCCACTCAATCATTACTTGATATAAACAATCATTGTTTGATTTTTCTCATCTTTGAATTAATATTCTTTTTGATTTGCCCATTTGAATTGAAATTTTCGAGTCAATAATGAAATCCATGGATTTGGTAAAACTGAAATTGTTTTATGATAGAAAAAAAAAAACTAACAATGCAAGAATCCTTTCAAAAAAAGGTAAAATTTATACTTTTTCCACATCTGATGACTATAAATTATCAGTAATTTCTTAAATAAATTTCTCATATTTTTTTTTAATTTGTATTTTATATTATTTGTTAATTTTATAACAATCTTTTTTTTTGTTTCTTTAATGGCAGGAAGCTTTTCATAGTGACAAACTCACTTTACATTCTTAAATGTGTTTTTCTTTTGTGACTCATGAAAAAGATAAATTTCAAAAATTAAACTTACTCAATGATGGTTTATCATCATTATTTTGTCTTCTTCGATTAATACCTTGATTAATGCTGCAATATAAAGAACTCACACTTCACTTGTCATATGCAGTTTTAATATCATTTGTAATTAAACTTTCTTAGTTAAAAAAATAATTAAATAGAGTTTTTTTATTAAATTTGAATTAAATCGAAATTTCATATCAAAGGTTGCATTTTTAGGTATTTCTTTCATGCAGTAAATGTTGTTTGATAAAAGTGATAATTAATAGTAAAATATCCCTTATCAAATATATTATTAAGAGTATGAAAAATTAAAAAATTTTAATGGCAAAATATACTAACAATGGAGTGATAACATCATTATTGTTTGCCTTTTTGCAG